ATGGCCTCCAACCTACTGAACCTACTAACGATGGCCTGCAACCTACTAGTTTGAATAGTGAGGTTTTCTCGTAGCTTCCTTGACTAACCGGAGCAGCTCATCTTCACCCGTCCCTCTCCGTATCAGTCCCTCCGCGGTCTTCGCCTTCACGTTGGACCTGGTCTTTCCAAAAAGAAAGGAACCAGAAAGCAGGAAAGGAGGAAGGAAGAGCAGAAAGACATGTCTAAAAACGATCTAAAGTTTTGTCTAAAGGTCTAGACACAATGAAAAAGGAAAGAACGGAATAAACAACGAAATGACAAACATGAGTAACACGAGTCATGAGTTAAAGAACAAGGGATAGAATGACACCCTTAACCACCACTGATGTGACAAGTCACTTCGATTGCCGCCATTCAGGAGAAAGTTGACTATCGTTTGCTGGCAATGAAGATGGTCCTTCCTCATGCTTTCTTTCTTATGTAACGTCAGAGATTTGTGATGTTTCAAGATACACATGTTTCTTCCTAAAGGTTTCCTCAAGGATCTAGGAACCACATGAATAGTGAGAGGGTTTCCTCGAAAAGCCGGAACTTTCTTGCGTCGCCTAGGAAGCTACTTAAGCTACTACTTACACTGCTAGCTTGCTTAAAAGCCTACCTCCTCACGGCTTACCCCCCACAAAAAAATTGTTTTTTTGTCCTATCGATCTTCATGTTTCAGTTTTTTTGACTTCAGCCAGGTGGAATTTAAGCTCGCTCCATCGGTGCTTTTGCTCTACGATGCTTCGACTCAAAAGTGACCTGACAACCTACGAGATTCTAAAGAGATGTGGGGAGATGTCCTCTGAGATGTGTTTTTCTTTTTTTGATTGTGAAACGGTTTTACCAGTCCCCGACGGTTCTCTTGCACAGCCTGCGTTGGGCTGGCCTGCAGGTATGCTCATGCAGTCCCAAACAATGCGTTCTACAAGCGCCCGGTTGTTGTGCAAAGGCCACTGGAACGCTGACTGTTTGCAGTGATGGAGTGCAATTATGTACGCAAAAAGTTGGAGCTCTTCATTCTTGTTGAGTAGCTGTTGGGTTAGCGCTTAGCAGCATTTTCATCATTCAGACCGACCTTTCGTTCGAGTAGTGAACGACTGTGCTTTCAAAGCTACTACGAGCAAAGGGCATCGTTAGTAGGAGCAAGGACGCTACTAGGGGCTCCTGGCATCGCTACTAGGAACAAGAAGCTACTAGTACCAAGGGCATCGCTACTAAAGCCAAATCACTTGAAGATGCCAATTCCTGATGGCCTTCGGCGGGCCTTCGACGCAAGTTGGATCGACGTTCACTGCCTTTCCTTTCCCAGGTCTCGCTTTAAGCCAGTGACTTTTGCGCACAGAGAGGTCATCCAGGTGTGTGCAATGCTTTACCACAAATAGCGGACTTGTTAGTGTTTATTGATCTCAGTGTTTCTTTTTCTTTTTATGTTTGAATCTTGTGTTTTTATGGTTCATCGTCTTTTCAGACGTGGTTATCTCAGCTTTTCAAGCTTTTCAGCTTTCTTGCTGACAAGGCAGCAGCTAGTAAGCTCAAGAGCGAGCTGGGCCCAGACTCCAAGGAGGTGATGCAGGTCCGAGAACCGCAAGACCCAAGGCCCAAGACAGAGCGAAGAGGCCTTGCTCCTAGTAGCGATGCCCTTTGTTCCTAGTAGCGTCCTTGCAATGGCCTTTAAATGCCTTTAATACTGCAAGTAGGATCAATGTATCTAAGACCGCCTAAGACAGCACGTCCGTGAAGTAACAAGATGTTCGTGAAGTAACATGTGACAGTGAAGATTGAGTGAACCGGTTGACGTGAGACTTTATGATTTTTATGCAATTCGAGCATTTAGCTCAAGCTTTGACAACAAAGTCCACAGCATCAAGCAGTGGCCAGTTTAAGACAGGACTTCCCTGCACCCACAGCAGTTACAGTACGTGACGGCGGACTGGTGTTTAATTTGGTCTTGGACTCAAGGAAGTACTAAGTAGTACTTGCATATTACAAGCTCTTGCCGAATATGGTAGGTTTTTTGCAGCAACTGTTTTGCGATTTGAGCGCCACGCCCCCCACTGCGCCCTTTCCATCAGTGACGATGGCATTGGTTGCCTGGCAGCAGTCGTACAGTAAAAGGCGCACAGTGCTAGACATGTCCAACACGGTGGATTAGACAATTAGGTTGGAGGCCATCGCAACTAGGTTGGAGGCCATCGCCAGTAGGTTGGAGGCCATTGCTATTAATAGGTTGGAGGCCATCGCTATTAGGTTGGAGGCCATCGCAATTAGGTTGGAGGCCATCGCCAGTAGGTTGGAGGCCATTGCTATTAATAGGTAGGAGGCCATTGCTATTAGGTTGGAGGCCATCGCTATTAATTAGGTTGGAGGCCATTGCTATTAGGTTGGAGACCATCGCTAGCAGGTTAGAGGCCATTGCTATTAGGTTGGAGGCCATCGCATTTAGGTTGGAGGCCATCGCCAGTAGGTTGGAGGCCATTGCTATTAATAGGTTGGAGGCCATCGCTATTAGGTTGGAGGCCATCGCAATCAGGTTGGAGGCCATCGCCAGCAGGTTGGAGGCCATTGCTATTAGGTTGGAGGCCGTCGCTAGTAGGTTGGACCATCGCTAGTAGATTGGAGGCCATTGCTATTAGGTTGGAGGCCATCGCTATTAGGTTGGAGGCCATTGCTATTAGGTCGGAGGCCATTGCCATGAGATTGGAGGCCATCGCTAGTAGGTTGGAGGCCATTGGTATAAGGTTGGAGGCCATTGCTATTAGGTTGGAGGCCATCGCTTTTAGGTTGGAGGCCATTGCTATTAGATTGGAGGCCATCGCTAGTAGGTTGGAGGCCATTGCTAGTAGGTAGACTTTCGCTGCTCACAACTGTGGGGTGATGCAGCAATCTCGCATCGAGCCCTTAGGACACCAGAAGAGCGCTGGTCGCCTCAGACACCTGGCTGGATTTGACTGTGCCTCTTGGCAGGTTCTGTCGTAGATGGAACTGGCCCTTGTTACTACCTGGAAGGATGCAAGTACCAACTGAGGTATGGAATGCCACCCCTCTCTGGTGTACTGTCCAATTCTAATTCACTGTTTTACTCCCACAAAGGGCCCTCCCCACGGTGCACCCAGTAGCGTCCTAGCTTTCTCTTGGATGTCGTGATTGATGGAGTTCAGATGTCACACGAAGCCTACTTCATACGGCTGTCACATGCGGCTGTCTTCTAGTCGGAATCATAACACTTCGGAACAACGAGTCAAAAAAGACAACAGGTGCCACTTCACTTGGCTTGGATGCTCAACCTCTTTCGCTTGATCTGTCCTTTTTGTGCATCACATTCAATGTCACCGGACTTCCTGCTGCACTGCTGTTAGGAGCAAGGACGCTACTAGGGGCTCCTGGCATCGCTACTAGGAGCAAGGACGCTACTAGGGGCTCCTGGCATCGCCAAGGACGCTACTAGGGGCTCCTGGCATCGCTACTAGGAGCAAGGACGCTACTAGGGGCTCCTGGCATCGCTACTAGGAGCAAGGACGCTACTAGGGGCTCCTGGCATACTAGGGGCTCCTG